AAACCCCAAAAAACAACAACAACAACAACAGCAACAAAAATTAATAAAAAGTTCTTAAAGAAAGCCAGTATACCTGGTGAAGCAGCGAAAAATCAGGAGAGTGATTTCTTTCTCCAGCTAAAGTACAGAACACGGAAACTGACTTTTAATAAGTGAGAGGACGAAGTAGGATACACGCTGTGCCTTACCCACTGCAGAACACATTTTTTACAACAACACTCATAAAATAATAATCTTAACTCATTCGCTACGTATTATTTTCGGCTTGTGGACGAATTTTTTTCTGGAGGGCGAAATGAGATGATGACTAGTGCACAGTCCACAGGTCTTTGGGACCATACATTCACATAAATATCAACATACCAACATTTTCAGTATGGTTTGTAGAATACATCTGTATTATTTATTTGTATATTTTTCAACTTTGGTTCCTGTAAGAGGCGATTATGCAACACAATTGTGATTGGATGCGTATAAAATTGGAAAATAAAAAAAATTATAATCTCAGGTGAAACTCAAAAAAATATGTTTGCACCTAGTCAATGATACTTCAAAATAACCATAACTGTATATAGAACAGGAAAATATTGAAAAATGTGCAGTTATTTACATAAATTCCATAATATTTGTACTTTTGGATCATAACATCCGATATTGAGAAAAAAAATTAATTTTTTTTTGAAAAAAGGATCACAAACCGAAAAAAATACGCGTATTTTGTATGGAATTATTCAGAATTGTGTTTGGAATAAACCTTATCATGTCTTGAGAGCTACTTTTTGAGTAATTTCACCCAAAAGTAGTGATTTTGGGGAGAAAAAAATATTTTGACTATTTAGATATAGGCGTAGATCTAGCACTCAAAAATATTGATTTCTCAATTACAGTGCACCGGCAATCTGCGTCCTATAGTATCAATATTATTAAAAGATTCCTACATTTCTATAGTGGGCAAAATAATGATATATTTAGTTCTGTAAAAGTACTAAGGCTGCTGTCTGGGCTATAATTTTGGCTTCGCGATAAACAAAGTCGAATAAACTACGAAATCGTGTTTCAAAACTGAATCAAAACTTTCGATTTTCGGTGGAAACGCTTGACCC